TTTAGGGGTCGAGTTCGGGTTGACCCGTTTAGATCCGTGTCGGGGCGGGTTCGACCCGAACCCGACAGGTTGACCCGAATTGACACCCCTCTTGTATCTTGCAAAAGTGATCCCCTCAATTCACCCCAAAGAGAGAATAGTTCACTTCTCTCCCTCTTTGGATCAAAATCCACAATCTTCCCTTGTCTTAGGAATCATGATCGGGTTTCAAATGTTGCAAGTGTCATTAGGAACCCATGTTGTTGACAAGCTCATAACGAAAAAACTCGTCTCATCGTCACGAGGGTTTGTGTCTAAGTTGATAAACACTTTAAACTCCTTGACGAAATTCCTATATATGTGGCATGAAAGTCTCTAAAGCTTAAATATTCAATATGATTAGAAACATTCACCTTGTGATGTCTGTGGTTCTGTTACTCATCCCTCAAACCTATGTATAGTTAATCCTCCCCTACCCAGCCCATAACCCACTTGGTTCAAGTTTGTAGTTTTAACAAGAATTTAAGGAGACATGACTCCAAGGCCCCTCCTTCACACCACAATGCCAATGAACATATCCCCCCTCCTGTTGCAAGTCTCTAAAGCAGTGTAATTTGTAAATGGTAAACACTACGATTTGGGAGACAATAAATTAATCCAATGGAGAAATTAGTAAATCCGTACAGGTGTCAAATGAATAAAGCAACTGCTATATTTGTACTATAAATAAGTAAAGCAATCATATAAAGCGGTAAAACTAAAGCATCGAATACAAAACTGTCAAACTATGATCAATATAATGAAATATTGTAACAATGTACACATACTATCCAGTTAGTCTATATTAGTATAATATCAGTATCTTAATCACATACTCAATATATCACATGCTCAATATGTTACATACTCAGTATTAGTAATCAGTACAATGAATTATTAACAACAATAATAATAGTGAATCAGTGGTATATCAATAATAGTATCGGTGTTCGTATCAGTACTAGTAGGTATAGTTGTAGTAATAAAAAAATTAATGCTATAATAATAATATATATAATGATAAGAAATCAATACAATATCATTAAAGTCGTGTAATAATAATGAATTAATAACATATATTTCAGTAACCACACTAAACAGGCAAGTAGTTTTTCCTATAGCAGTACGTATTTTTTAGTAGTTGATAATCCATAATTAGTAACTATTGACTCAGTAAATAGAGTTGTCATTCTTTACCCGTCAGCACAGTGTTAACTCCTTATAACTTTCAATCGTTGTTATGCAATTATTATCTCATTGTATCGCTAACGATAACATTAAATCACTATATTTAAAGGAAAGTCTCTTAGCTCACCATTTTATACATGTCAATTAATTTTTAACCAAGAACTCAGCTAATCTTTACTTATTTTTTATACACATTATAATAATGATAATAATGACCAGCTATTGGCCAATCACATATTCATTTTCATTCTCGATGCTTGTATTAATAATATGCTTAAAAATACCTACGAAGTAAAATGCATAATTTCAAAACATAACCAAATTACCAAGGATTATGTAAAACATCATTTCAAAACTTTAATCATACTACATAACTATTTTTTGAATCTAAATCATTTTTAGTTCAATAAAAATCACATAAGTTCCAAAATATCGAGTATATATTTTTTTGAAAAATATTCAAAGCATTCATAATATCAATCTCAATAAGATATAAAAGTTATGTGGTAAAAATATTATAAGTGCAAAGTTATCCATATTTTCGATACCTGAAATAGAATTTTAATTGAAGAAATAGCAAAAACATTAATTTTTAAAAATTTAGATAGACATAATCAATGCAGACAACTTTTTTAAATAGTCCGATCGGCGCCTAAAAATGACACAAAGCAGCTCAAAATAAACTATTTTTCGAAAAAAAAAATCGATCTATTAATATTTAATTGATGTGACTGTACTGACACGTGTGTATCACAAATATGGCTTGGTGGGACCCATGAATAACATCAGATGTTATAAAAGTTGATAGGACATGAGAGCATTATCGTTATAACTAAGCATAACGGCACCTTCAGGAGAACAATAATTATTTTTTGGAAGCTTCTGTTATTATATATATATATATATATATATATATATATATATATATTATTTAGATGAATAATAAAATTTGATTTTAATAAAATAAATTTAATATTATTTAATTTATTTTAAAATTTAATACTTGATTGATGGCTGTCCCTCACAAGAACTATATAGTTGTTAGAAAAAGAAAAATACAGCAAAGGCAAACCATGTGACCTGAAAAGGTTCACATGCAAATACTCTCATAGAATTGAATGAAATGGGCCCACATGCATGTGGCTTAACCATGCATGAATTTAATTTTTTTTATTACAATTTAATGTGATTTCATTAAAATATGCAATTGTGTGTATGATCATGATCATGATCATGGCATGTCAATAACTGATCTGACTTGATAGCCCGATATGAATCTCACCTGAAAAATGTTAAATTTGGGTTGACCCGTTTAATGAACGGGGCTGATTTGTGTTCATAATTTCAACATGTAACCCAATAGTGACTTATTTAATTATTTTCGTTTAGCTTAAATTATTTTACTTGTTACTAGGGGTGTCAATATTTGACCCGATCCGAAAACCCGACCCGAACCCGACTCGAAAATTTCGTGTTAGGGTCAACCCGAACCCGAAACGGGTAGGGTTCGGGTTCAGCATTTTGACCCGTTTCAAAAATCGGGTCGGGTTCGAGTTAACCCTTTGACCCGAAAGTGACCCGATTTTGACCCGAAAACCCGATTTTGACCCGGCAACCCGAGATTAATCTGATTTTGACCCGAAAAGAGGAGATTGACCGTTTTTACTCGAAAATTAGCCATTGCAAGAGAGAATGGAAAAAAGGTTGAAAAGCTTGGTTGGCTTTGAGAGCAAGCTGATGTAATACGTCTCATCCAGATCTTTCTATCTTCTTCCTGATTACAGATATGTACGATTATTTCCATAATAAGATCTATCTGCTCTGTATCTAGCAAACTCTTAAGCTTTGTCTTATTAAAAACAAGACAAAAGGTTACTGCTTGATTCCAACGATTTAGCTAAGCCTTCCACTCTTCGGTTCCCTCTATTCCATCCCTCTCTCTCTCTCAGCATTGTTAAGGAAGAGCCATGGCAAATCTAATAAGCTTATCTTTCTTCAGCAAATTTGATTTATCAAAAGGTATCAGCAGATCTTTACAACTTTGAGAGGTAGGCGCGCAAATCTCCAAAAATAAGTGATTAAGTTCTATATATCATTTACGTTTCATGTTTTCTCTCTCAAGTCTCTAAGAGATTTAATAAAGTTCATTCAAACAACTGATGCAAGAAGTATTTCATTGATGTTATGAACAAATTTTGTTACAGATTCACTGTGTAAGAAGCTTTGGAGAAGATGAATATAGCAAGCAGCAAAGTTCCTCCAGGTTTCAGATTCCATCCTACTGATGAAGAGCTTGTAAATTACTATCTTCGCAAGAAAGTTAGCTCAAAAATAACTGATCAAGACGTTATAAAAGATGTGGATCTTTGTAAGATTGAACCATGGGATCTTCAAGGTAACTTTCTCTCCACAAAAAAATAGAAGATTTGTAAGAAAAAAAGTTTGAACTTTGAACTTCAATCATGGCAGATATTTGTGGTAAAGGAAGAGAAGATGAGCATGAGTGGTATTTCTTCAGTCACAGAGATAAAAAGTACTTAACTGGAAGCAGAACAAACAGGGCAACAAAAACTGGGTTTTGGAAAGCTACTGGTAGAGATAAGCCGATTTATTTAAAGCAGAAGTTGGTTGGTATGAGGAAGACGTTGGTTTTCTATAAGGGAAGAGCTCCAAATGGACAAAAATCAGATTGGATTCTGCATGAATATAGGCTGGAAAGCGATGAATGTGAAGCTTTACAGGTATCTATATATTTTAAAAAAAAATTCATTTGAAGCTAATGAAAGTGAAAAATTATATAGAAAAGTGTAAAAAAGTTGAACTCCTCATTGAATGATAAGAAGTGTGTAAATAAATGATAAAAAAATTAGGCTTTATTTGATAAATTTTTTTATTATTTTTTTAAACTTTTTTTTTTATCAAAAAATTTCTTGAATTAAAAATTTATATGCTAAAATTTTTTAATTTATTCTAATTAAACTAGAATAAATTGTACTTTTTCATGAAAAGATATAAATGATAATAACATTTTTTTTTGTTGAGGGAGTATATTAGTAAAACTGAAGTTAGAGAGGCTTTAAAGAAAATGAAGGGTGGAAAAGCTGTTGGACCTGATGATATCCCAATAGAGGTGTGGAAATGCTTAGGAGATGAAGGAATTTCATGGCTTACTAATAACATTTTTTTTTGGTTGAGGGAGTATATTAATAGATTTTGTGGTACTTAATTATACATTTATTTGTTCTTTTGTTTTTTAGTTAATGCAAATGCAATTTTTAAGAATAAATAAAATAGAAGAATACGTTAAGATTTCATTTGGATAGCTTTCTTACTGCTTTTTAAATCAATTTTTTAGTATTTTTTTTTTACATAAAAATACAATTTATTATAGTTTAATTAATAAAAGTGTCAATCTATTTAATTTATTCTAGATAATTACATTTTACATGGTACTAGGTCTAGCTTAATTAGGCTAATGACCACTAATTGTGCCATATTTAATTACATTCACTACATAAAATGGTAGTGTAGATCCATTATCAAACTGCTTGCTTGATTTGTAAACTGAAGAGTATAAAAATGGAAATAGATTTATTTTGCCTTCCAAAATAAAAAATTTACCTATATGCAACTCATTTTTGTACAATATAAAGCACAACTAAAGAATTGGTCCAAAATCAATCTCCTCTATGAACTCATGATATCAATGTTTGGCAAGCCAAATATTTAGATTACATAGATTTTTCGATTATGTAATTTAGGCTTCGTTTGGGACGACTTTCTTACTGTTTCTTAAAGTAACTTTTTAGTACAAAAATTAAAGTTTTTATATTAAATAGCTGCTTTAAAAGAAATAAGACAGCTGTCCCAAATGAAGCTTTAGAGTCTCTAGGGATTGAAGATTCTCGATAGAATATTGTTCTTAAGATTACTTACATTTGACGTGATGTAAAAAAAACACTCAATTAAGAAATCTTGATTACGTTGTACTATAAATACCGGTTGAAAGATTTCGTTGGAATTTTCGTTGGTAATCAATGATTTTCCTGTAGAATTTTATTTATACACCGGTGACTCATTTCATCTAACAATAAATGAAATAACTTAAAATAAAAATAAGTCAAAATCTAGGAGCATTGAGGCATAGACAAATAGGTAATATTTGATGAATATAAGAATAGACAAATAGGTAATCATATCCTAAGAAAGAGGATGGCTATGGCTATCCTAAGAGAAGGAGAACTATACTAGGAAAAGGGTCTATCCAAGGAAGAGAGGAAGATTATCATAAAGAATGGGCTAACTAAACCTAAAAAAAGATGTTTAGGTCATAGGATTAGGGCTGATCAAGTTAATTAAAGCTTTAAATTTATATTAAACCCATATTTGACTTAGTTTTTAGGTTTGACTAGGCTTTACACCTTTTATAACTAATTGGGTCCAAAGGGATTTAGTTCCTAGGATTAGGTTGGTTGGATCAATTTTTTTTTTTTAATTTAGATTAGATTTTATATAATTTTAAATAAATTTAATTATATTATATTAATTTGAATTATTAATACATGTTCAATTTGAGTATTTTCTTGATTTATATAAAAATTGTAATTTTTTGTGTAAGAATCCACCAAAGTGAAAAATACAAAGATTGTTTAATTAGAATTTTAATGACACTAAAATCATATGATTTCGATAAGAAACGAAAACTTTATGTCGAAAATAGTATAATAAAATTGATTTTTTTTGTATTTAAATTTTTGATTTTGTGAATTTCATATAATTGCAATTTATCGTATCAAAATTGGCCAAAATAAAAACACGAAAGTTGTAGAGAATTTTTTTAGTTTTCCAGCAACACAAAATCATTCCATTAAGGTAAGGAGAAAGTATTACGTGTGGAGTCAACGGGAGAGCTGTCTGGATTCTGTGAGGGCATAAAACTAATACACAACAAAAAATAAAACTATGCATTTGTTGTGTATTTACTGTGTACCATCACAGAATTCCAACATTTCTCCCATCGAGACTCCGCATGTTATAATCTCTCTCAGATAAGAGCAAGGAAGTTATGCCTAGAATAGTGAAATAAAATATTTTGGCATATCTATTACTGATTGAATCCATTTTCACTATGGAACTCTCCATCTATTAAAAATATAGGATATTAATAATCTCACAATCCATAATATCATGTTAATTTCATTTGACATAGCTTTCTAACTGCTTTTGCGGTAGAAAAAAGAACAAAAAAGTCCTTTTTCATGATTGTATCTTGGAATTGCTATACATATCAAGGCTTCGTTTGACACAACTTTCGTACTGCTTTCTAAAACGGCTTTTTCATACAACAAATTCAAATTGAAGAATTTTTTATATTACAAAGCCGTTTTAGAAAACAAGAGAAAAACCGTCCCAAACGAAGCCTCGACAAAATGTTTCAGAAAACAATGAAATGTGAAAATCTTTGCACACCTCCCATATATTTTACAAAATTCTGAACCAGGAAGATGGCTGGGTAGTTTGTCGGGTGTTCAAGAAGAGACCTGCAGTGACCATCAAGGAAGAAAACGAGCTTGAAGAACCTTCATTCTGGTACAACCAAAGCCTCAGATTACTACCACCACTCAAATCTCAGTATCCTCTGGATCATCGCCATCACCTGCAATGCTCCTACAAAGAACAAATTCTGCAAAACTTTCTTCCTTTTATGTCGCCTCATCATCATCTTCATCTCCCACCATTAGAGCTACAGGTAAACGAAGATCAAAGCATTGTTCAAACGAAGGATTGGAGAGTTCTGGAGAAGTTTGTTGCTTCTCAACTTAGTCAGGATGGCTTATCAAAATGTCCAAATTGCTGTAGCAATTCACAAGATCATGGCACTCTTCATGAACAGCTAGCCCAACAGGTACCCTACTACTATATATGAATCATCATTACCTACTACTTAAATTAGAATGTACAAAGTCATGAAGATATGGATTCTTAGGTTCATTTGGAACAGCTTTTTTATTGCTTCTTAAAACGGAGTTTTAATACTAAAGTTCTGTTTTAAGAAGCAGAAAGAAAGTTGTTCCAAACAAAGCCGTAGATACATATATATCACATGAAGCCTAAATTTTTATGTTTTTTTTTTTTTTTTTTTTTTTTTTTTTTACTTTTATATATAGAGGATTGTATTTTGCTTTTAGTTAGGTAAATGTTGGCAATATTTTTGAAGTGGTTGAGAGATTATAGTGTTATATTAGTAAATATAAAGATTTAGGCTTTGTAGATGTGATGATTAAGAGTTATGTAGATATATGTAAATCTCATTAAAGAGATGAGTTTGGTATATATTGTAAATATGACTAAACTTGTGTTGCTTTGAGAGAGAAGTAATACCACTATGCCAAGAGTGAGTGTGGTCTTAACTTGTATTGCTTTGTTTTTTTGGTTTTCAAATAAGATATTTTGAATTGAGTGCAATACTTTCTGTGAGAATGATGACATTTGGGACGGCTTTCTTACTGTTTTATGAAGCAGCTTTTTAGTGCAAAAAGTTCAAATTCAAAAAAAAATTGTACTAAGAAACTGTTTGATAAAGCAGTAAGAAAATTGTCCCAAACGAAGCCTAAATCAAATACTTTATGTACTTCTAGCTCATGTTATGAAAACCAAACTTATCAGGTTAGTGCAATTTGCTTAAAATAAAAAGAAATTTAGTATAAATTATGTACATGTTGCTTAAACAGAACGACAAGACAACAGCAAAGACTATTGTTTTCCTATGAGATAAAATTTAAAGTTCATGTAATTTACACCGAATTAATGTCTTTTATTTTGAATAAATGTCTTCCTATTCTATTAAATATTTATGAGATTAACCTGAAACATTTTTTTCTTTCCTGCATAGGTGTTGACATAATGGTGTACTAATTTTTCTTTTTTTGCATATGAGATTGTTAGATTTGCTTGCTATTTGTTTTGATGCATGAAGGGTATTTTAGATGTGTTATGGTCAGTGTTTTGTATACAAATTTAGGCTTTATTTGGGACGGTTTTTTTATTGTTTCTTGAAGAAATTTTTTAGTATAAAAATAAAAAATTTTGTACTATTAAGCTGCTTCAAGAAGCAGTAAAAAAGCCGTCCCAAGCCAAGCCTTAATCTTCATTTAGGATGCTTTTTTTTTCTGCTTCTTAAAACAATTTTTTAGGACAAATATTAAAATTTTTGTACTAGAAAGCTGCTTTAAGAAGCAGTAAAAAAGTCATTTCAAATGAAGCCTTCGGCTTCTTTTGGAAAAACTTTCTTACTGTTTTCTAGAATAATTTTCTAATACAAAGAATTTCTTATTCAAGAAATATTTTACTAGAAAACTGTTTTAAAAAATAACAAGAAAATTGTCCCAAATAAAGACTTCAATTCTTTTGGAGACAATTTTCTTAATATGTTTTGCTTGCCATCACTTGAAATCCAAACAATTACAATAATTTTATAATAATAGCAAAAGATAAGCAAACCTTTTTAAGATGCTAATGATGTTGATTCTAACATGCTCAATACTTTTTTAGAAGCACTTTAATTTCTTCCATTAATAGAATTGCTCTTCAATGTGGATATTGTGCAAATTTAACAATTTCACCAAAAATGATAATATAGAGATACTCTCTAATATCTCCCAATCTAAATGTTTAAGAGGAGACTTCTAAGCAATTATGATTCTAATTGAGTTAAGCTTGACTCAAGCTCTACATTAAAAATGTCTCATGAGTCGAATTCAATGAGCCAAACTTGACACAACCCTGATTCAACTCGTTAGTTCAAAAAATTGACTAAATTGCGCTTCAAAATTGAGTATTCCAACAAAAATTATTCTGTGCAGTCACTGTTCGGCGAATGAGAACGCGCTACGTCATTTTTTTTGCTGTGTACCGCTTGATACCAAGTGACGTGGCATGTTTTGATTCGCCTCTAAATCGTTCGGTAACCTCACAGAATAATTTCCCCTCCGATAAGGAACTAGCCACAATTATATTACACATATCTCAAAGCAAATATAATGAACATAAAATCTATCAAAAATAAGACTTTATCATTGATATGCCAAGCTTAATTTTTTTTATACAAAATCCCAACACCCCATACTAAATAATAAAAGCAATATTAACTGAAAGGGTCAATTTACAACCAAATTGTACCAAACAGCTATATAACAAGTGGTTATAGATGCAAAACTTGTTTTCTAACATTTAACCTTAAGATAGAGTGCAATATAAATTTGTTTAAGGCTTTAAGTGAATAAATTGTAAATTTAAGTGAGAATAAGTGCTTTAAATGTGAGTCCTCTTGTTGAAATTTATATTACACTCATCTCAAAGCAGATCTAATGATCATAAAACTCATCATAACGAAAACTTTATCAGAATATGCTAATCTTGATTTTTTTCATATAGAACCCCTACACACATACAAAATATTAGAAGCAATTTTAAATGAAGAAGGGTTTTTCTTGCATACCACAAAATTCTTATTTATTTACATATCTAACATCAAAATCTTTTGATTTAATGATGCAATACTCAACTCTCTAAATCACACAATAAATATTATGCATTTTAGCTTATTTAAAGACACTTGTTTATGTATATGCTTTCGCGTTTTTTAAGCACTAAAATAATGTATGAGTAAAAAAAAAAAGTAAGCGTTAGATATGTAAATACATAAAAATTTTGTGGTATATATGTAAGTCCCATTAGCTGAAACGCCTACTTACAACCATAGATTATGGCATAGGCTTCGTTTGGGATGGCTTTCTTAATGCTTCTTAAAGCAACTTTCTAGTACAAAAATTTTAATTTTTACATTAAAAAAAAAAAGCCAATATCCCAAACAAAGCCATATGCAGCTTTATAGTACAAAAGAAATTAATTTTTATAGTAAAAATTACTTTAAAAAACAGTAAAAAAGGCATCCCAAACGAAGCCATAAGCACAAAGCAAACATCAATATGACATAACTCTATGGGGTTAGAGATGCAAAAGCCAATATCCCAAACGAAGCCACAAGCAGCTTTCTAGCACAAAAATTTTAATTTTTATACTAAAAACTACTTTAAAAAGCAGTAAAAAAAGGCATCTCAAACGAAGCCATAAGCACAAAGCAAACAACAATATAACATAACTCTATAAGGTTAGACATGCAAAACAAATTTTCTAGCATTTAAAGGAAATGATCAGTTCAAAATTAAAAAGTAGTCTACAGGTTTCAAACAATAAAAGGAAACAAAATATAGTCTTTTTGATCAATTAGACTAACTTAGAATTCCACCATAAAAGCCTTAACTAAAAACTCACCTTACACATCCAACTCCAGAAAATTCCTAAGCTGCATAGTTAATCAAGCAGAGGCTCCATCTTCTCCATGCTCATCAATCAAATCCACCACCTGAGCCACATTCCTTGCTATCTCCCTCGGAATTAAGACGCCATCCGGCAGGTCGAACTTCCTCCGACGAAGCGAACCGAGCTTCCCGGTCGCCGGCTGCGGGTCCACAACCTCGAGCATTATCTCTAGTTCATCAATAATGGACTTCTTTGCAGCCCGCATCATGTAATCAGGTCCCTGATATGGTTTTGCAAAATTTCATTGTTCAAAGGAAGCATTCAAGAAAATCCTAATAATGCTGGAAAATAAGGATGATAATCATATATCACAAAAAATATTAATTGCATTTGAATATTGTATATGTAACAACAATGAAAAGTATACAAATCATAACTTACATTTGTTGTCAACTTTCTTGTATCTGTTTTCTTATTAAAAATTATTAAATAATTTTATAAAATATTTAAATATAAAATAGTTGAACAAATCTGTCTTTAAAGGAAAAAATAAAAAAAAAATCATTTTAAAAGACTATTGATCACTCAGAATTTTTATGTGTATCTGATAGTGTCATCCAAAAAGGGATTCAACACTTTAATCTTAGATGGTTTATGGAGATAGTGGGACTTAGGGGTGTGAGCCGAGCCGGCTCAAACTCTACATGCTCATAATCTCGCGAGTTGAGCTTATCGAGTTTTGAGTTCGAGATCGAGCCTATAATCAAGTTTGATTACTTAAGGGTTAATTTTTAAACTAAATACTAATTAAAATTTAATTAGCAACATAACCAACAAGAAAAAGAAAATTTAAACTAGTCAAAGTCGCCCATTACACGGGTTGCACTGGCAACTTATTATTGAAGGTAAGTCGCCTGTTTAATGAAATTGATTTAATTAAAATCCATGAGTTGTGTAAAATTTGAGAGCAAAATTAAAATCAGAGAGTAATTTAAATCTGAGAGCTATTACTTAAAATTTGAGCATTTATAAAATAATAAAAAAGCAATAAATAAAAGGGAGGGGGAAGAATGTTTTCAACTAATTGTCATATAGAACACAATCAACACTATTTTCCAGCTCTCAAAAGAAAAATCCCAAAGTCCCAAAACAAAAGCTCTCAACTCTCAACATAAAGAACACAACTCTCAAAACTCTTCATGTACACACTCTACAACGACTCCTTCATCTGTGAACTCATTGAACTAATACAAGTACCGCATACTTGCAAATAAACAAATAAAAGTTAGTACACCACAAATAAAAATCATTGCTAAAAAAAAAAGAAGTAAATCTAGCTACTGCAAGCAAAGTAGTGAAAAAGCTAGTAAAGCAACAATCTAGCTTTGCAGCTGTAGTTCAACGAGTCATGCATCAGTGAACTCATTCCATTAGATTTACTTTTTTTTTCAGCATTGATTTTTATGTGGTGTACTAACTTTTGTTTGTTTGTTTGCAAGTACGCGATATTTGTAACAGTTCAATAAGTTCACAGATGTATGAGTCACTGTATAGTGTGTACATAGGAGAGTCTTGAGAGTTGTGTTGTTTGTGCTGAGAGTTGAGAGCATTTGTTTTGTGACTTGAAATTTTTGTTTTGAGAGTTACAAAACAGTATTGAGTGTGTTATATATGTCAATTAGTGAAAAATATTCTTCCTCCCAAAATTTCCCAAAAAATTTCAGAAGCCTCACAGCATCCCCTCCCCACCGGGGGAAATCGGGATGACATTTGCCGTAATTTCTTCTTACCTGGACCTAAGGTCAATGGCGTAGGGTCTTCTAATTAAGTTCTTCCCGGCCAGATCCAAGATACGACGGCTCGGATCTTCAAATTTAAAACATCTGCCCATATCAGAGATCGACGGCTCGGATCTTCAAATTTAAAACATCTGCCCATATCAGAGATCGACGGCTCGGACGTCAAGTTTTATATCATCCTATCATTATCTAAGATTGACTGCTTGGGGCATTCAAATTAAAATCATCTTGGTAGGACGTAAAGTCGACGACGCGAGGTCTTCAAATTAAAAATCATCTCGCCAAATCAGATATCAATGTCGCGAGGTCTTCAATCCTTTGAATGTTCGTTAATTTACAATCATAAATCTATTTTAATCAACTTTTAAAATAAAGATTTTTTTTCCTTTGGGCAATTGAATGAGAGGCAGAATATCAATTAAGCGTCTTTACTTTTGACACTTTATGTTTTATCTAGTCTTGTTGTATGCATGATGTTTTATTTAGTTTTTTTGTTTTCCATTTTTACCCTTATGGGGAGTATCTTGTCATTGTAGCCCGGAGGGCAAGTTTGTACTTTTCTTTTCATGTTGAGAGGCCTATATATAGTGGCCCTATGTGTTGTAAAATGATGATGAATGTTTAATGAAAATTTCTTGTGTTTCTTCTTCTTCTTATGTGATTACTAAAGGGACGGGAGAGAGCTCGAGGTGAGCAAGTGCAAGAACCACCAGTTGTTGGAAGATTCCACGGCTCGTGGTAATTTATTATGTTCTATTTTAGTTGAGTTTCCCTCATCCTCCTTCCCTTCTCCACCCGCCTCCCTTCTCCACCCGTCGGCTCCTTCCCAAGCCTACCTCCACCGACTGCTTAACCTCTCCCATCCATTTCATCCTCTAGCTCCACCACATCAAGTCCAACCATCATCCAAGCCCACCTCAATCCGACGCCAAATCCCTCTTCCCCTTTGACCGCTGGCAACCTCCTCATTCATCAAGCCGTTATGATGATTTCAATCATCATAATGACTCCCTAACTTATGGCACATTGCTCACAAGAGTTAAAGAGAGGTTGTTGTTCGTGTGGCTTGAATAGGCAGAACAGTGCATGCAATAGATTCAAACATTGAATCTCGCATGCACGGCCGTGGGCTGAAGGCGAACGAAAGCTTGAGCGCGTGGGTGGTGGCCTTGGGTTGGGCAGAGAGAAAGGGGCTCAATCGTGGGCTTCTGCGTCTAGACGAACGAGAGGGCGTCATATGTGAGGAGGCGGGTGTTCGACGGAGGCGAACTCAGCACGACTGAGGGCCTTCGAACTCAGAGGCTTTGTGTGGGGATGGATTGAAGGAGGTAGGGAATAGACAGGATTTTGAGAAATTGAAAGTGTGAGTTCCCCTTTGTTCTATTTTTTCTTCCTTTTATCATTATAATCGTGAAATGGGAGTTGCAATGCAAAGCGATGCGTTGTTTGAGCATAACTGTGTGTGTGGGATCGGACTGGAAGAGGCATCGTAAGAGATGCATCTGTTCGATCATTTTTTTCTCTTTTTTTTCAGTCAACAAACAACATGACAAATAAATAATTGAATCAAATACACAAACAATGTTTACAAATGTGAGATATGATCTTTCTAATATGAATAAATTAACACAATGAGTGTATATATTTTAACCCATATTTTTAAGATTTTATACCGAATCATAAGAGATCACACACTAATTATTCAATTAATTTCATTTTACAAAAATTCACCAAATATTAACTATTGTTATGCTAAGTAATTTGTTGTGAGTGTGAGCATTAATTGATTAAAGATTATGTCATAACTTTAACTTCAATATAAATTGATTTACTCCACACTAAAGCACAAAACAAATATATCATTCATTGCTTAGAAATTTACTACAAATAAATGACAAAATAAATAAATAAATAAAGTTTAAGTAAAGAAAATCTAGTAATAGATTGAAAGACACAAAAATTTCTACATCATTTAGCCAACCCTAAAGTCTATATCTAATCTCAGTCCACTCCACAAAACTAGGATTCCCACTATCTCGATTTTGTCACCACATGACCAACTCCTTAAGAATGGAGAAACTTATAACTCAAACTTTACTTTTAAATAAATACAAGCAAACTAGGATTCCCACTATCTTGATTTTGTCACCAAAAGGCCAACTCCTTAAGAACAGAGAACCTTACACCTCAAACTTTACTTTTGAATAATAGGCTTAGTCAGCCCACTATCAAATCAACATTCTTTTAAGCTTTAGAGGAGACCTAAGGGTTGTCGCCTAAAATTATAATTCAATCGCTAAATAAAGCAAGAGAAAAATATTCAACTGAAAATCAAACTAACTATAATTAGAGATTGAAAAAGGAATTAATTTACTAAAGAACTAAATCCTCAAGAGATGAAGATTTCTTTGATACAGTTGGTATATACTTCTTGAATGACCCACAATGATATTACAATGAAAGCTCTCAAATTTATCTCTCCATTGGATTTAACCTTAGCCATAGGTGAAGTATTCATAGCCCCGAACACACTTAATATATGTGTCAAGACTCGGCCCGACTAGCCCGATAATATCAAGGCGGGATCAGTCGGTCGTACGGAAGAGCATAATACATAACATACTTTCATTTAAAACTTAAGGTCAGAACATAAATATCATCTCAAAATACATGAAAGAGCCACTAAACAACATCAAACTCAAATGTTTCAAACTGTTCAATACATACAATTGCTAAAACTTTTTAATCCATCAACATTACATAAACTCCACTTATTGTTCATTACACAGATACAAACTCAACTCACAAACATCACAGAATTAAATTCAAAGACTCAAACTTAAAACATAAAATGGAACCTTCCATCCTGAGATCCCCTATGACGATACGTGAACGATCGTCGTGCAGCCATCACTTCTCTCCTGAAAAATATTTCCAAAAGTAGGATGAGCCAACACTCAGCAGGTAATTCATATCTTAGCTAATTTCATAAGATGCTTATAACAAAAACTTTTACAATTAGAACTAGTTTATTTCATATCATTTTACAAGTCATAATCTTTAAACTTTTCAATTTTTCTTGTATTTTCTTTTTTTTAATATTTGATTTCTTTCACCTTATTCATATGCTATGCAAAGTATATGCTAAATATATCACCCTTCCTGGAAGTACCCATATTTGTACAGATCAGGTACGCAGTCAAATTTTTTGGTCATTTCCTTTACCATTGGTTCATAAGAACCATCCTTTACAATGGCTCATATGAGCCTCCTTTACCAATGCTCGAAAAAGCTCCTTTATCATTTTTGACACTTCCGGATCAACATACAACATGAAATTGTTATTGCTTTTAAATCATGCTCAATTTTATTTCATATTTATTTCATTTATTCTTATATCTTAATTGCTTTTTAATAATGCATGAAATGAAAGCATGAAACTGTAGGATATTCTTTAAAGCATGAATATCAAAACATTTGA